CTAGTTCTTTGTTTAAAGGAACACTATATTTTCTGGTCATGCAAACTGAGTTAATGTTTTGCATTGTACTATTATACTATGTATATTTAAATATATTTAGAATATTAAGCACTTGTAAGTGATGTATTAGACATTCAAGTATTTATCAAGTATATTGGTGTTTTCATCCACTTGAGTCTTTGTATCCGTTGCTGTGGTTACCACATCATCAGGTTTGGAGAGAAGAGGAGGGAAGCTATCAAGATACGTAACAAAAGAGTCCCAGTAATCTGCCACAACATCACCAAGAGAGTCATCTCTGCAAAATAGTTGGCAGAAGCAAAGGGAAAAAGAAAGAAGCATGATTAGTATGATAAGAAGGAAAATCATCGATAATGTTGTTAAATGATTAAAGTTACATAAAGCTAATGAGTCAGCATAAAAACATGCCAGGATGGTTTTTTGTAAAACAGTCGCATGACAGTGCACCTCGACTTTGATTCATGTTATATATGATGGCAATCGAAAAACATTTGTATTAAATTACTTTAATATTCTGAAGCATACAGGTAGTGGCCTGGTACACTACTGGCATTATGATCCGGTAATAAGAAGTTGATACCTACATGCAAGTTGTCCACCGAGAAGAGATTACCAGGATCACCAGGAACAGCAGCTGAGAGCAAGTAAGTTAATAGCAGGAGCACATTGCAGCCAAAATCACCAACCACCGTGGGGCTACACAAGCAATTTACCACCCGGGACTTACGTTTAATAATGATGTTACTGTGTATTCAAAGCAACACAGTCAATATACCCATCACCATTAATTGGGAAGGGAGGTCTACATTACCGTATTAACATGATGACATTCTACGAGGTTTTCTAGGGTTTCTGTGTCTACATTAGGATAAAGCAGAGTTAGTTTTGATGGATTATTAGGGATTACTGAGGTATATCAATAAATATCAAGCATTCTTCTGGCAGATTTCCCCCGTACTATCACCCTTCATGGTTGAGGCAATTTTGTTCACTTTTGGATTCTAAACTCGTATTGGCAGAGCACCCTCCCCTAACGATCAAAACAGGTAAATATTGAACTGCAACTGCTCACAAATGTTAGAAATGTGTTAGTAGCATTTATCATTAAGTACACAGCACATATATTGGTTATAAACATAGGAATATAAAAGCAATTGTGATTGTCTTCATTCTGTGTAAATGAGAATATACTGCAATACCACAAATGCAATTGTAAGTACAAATTTGTTGACATATTTTTTCTTGGGTTCTTCTATTTTTCATAAACTAATCATCTGGAAAATGCATTGGTTGAACTGAACACATTTGATAGCCATCGAGAGAAAATTACACACAAATCAATATACAATTGTGGCCAGTGACATAAAACAGTACATACATACATACATACATACATACATACATACATACATACATACATACATACATACACAAGACAGACAGCTAGCTAGCCATTTGTATGTCTGTCTTGCTGCACTGTACATGGACTTTGAACTTAGCAAACAGAGACACCAGTTTGAATTACAATCCCTGCATTGTATTTTGAAAGCCAAGGTCAACTTTTATCACAAAGTAAAACCTACAGAATTTTTTCTAATATTTTTTTCTAAAATTT